ACACACATATATAATATATATATATATATATATATATATATATATATATATGTATATATGTATATATATATATAATATATATATAATATATATGCACATGCATATGTAAATGTATACATAAACATATACACACACACAAACATATATGTATTGTTTGTGTATGTGAGTATGTATGTATGTACATATATGAGTGTTTTGGAGAATGAACACAACATTCTTTTACTTTCACAATTGCAATTTTGACTCTACAGAAATACCCAATATTCCCTCCACCCACTCTTAATTAAATCCATGTACACATTTATACTCAACATGCATACGTACAGATGTAAGTACACACACTCGTGCATTTTTTTTTTTTTTTTTCAACTCAAAGATGAAGACTAAAACTTGCTGTAGAAATATTCATGGATTTTTTTTTTTTTTTTTTTTTTTTTTTTTTACGTTTCCACACAATGGCGAGATTGTTCAGGGAGAAAAGAAATATCAAAAATTTACCTACAATATATGAAAAGTTTCCTTATTTGTTTCGTGTCTGTGTGTGTCTGTGTGCGATCTCTTGTGTGTCTGAGTGGGTGTCCTATATGTGCGTCTGATTTTTTATCATTATTATCATTATTATTAAGATTTATGTTTAGCAAGCTTTAAAATATCACTAAAGCAGTCAATTTTTGTATTACTAAGAAATTCCAGAGATATAAAAAATACAAAAAAAAGGGCAAAATCATTAATCAATAATCATTATCATCATTATTAGCACACGCGCGCTTGTGAGACAGAGAAAAAGAAAGAGAGAGAGAGAGAGAGAGAGAGAGAGAGAGAGAGAGAGAGAGAGAGAGAGAGAGAGAGAGAGAGAGAGAGAGAGGAGAGAGAGAGAAAGAGAGAGAGAGATTGTGTGCCTGTACATAAGGCATATGAATAATGTATTGTGTGAGTTATGTGTGCGTGTATATGCACATGTATTAATATAACGTACATATGAAGGACCTTTTTGAATGGACAAAACGTAAGGTGTCCTATCCGTGTGAATTTCTCTCACCTGTAGAGTGCGAGAGTAAAGGCTGTATCGACCACTCACGCCAGGATTTTTTTTTTCTCTTTTTTCTTTTTTTTTAGTCGTAACTCAATTACAGATCCATTATTTCCTTCCTTGATTTCATTAGTCCATCCGTATTGGAAGAATTCAGGTTCTGCTTCTCCTGAAGTGCTTATGTTAAAAGTTTGGAATTAGTTAACTCGTTATTAATTCGTATACACATGGCAAAAATATTTCTCGTTAATATTCTCGTACATATATTACACACATTTCATATATATTGGTGTATGTGTGTTGTGTGTGTGTGTGTGTGTGTGTGTGTGTGTGTGTGTGTGTGTGTGTGTTGTGTGTGTGTGTGTGTATGTATGTATACATATATTATATATAATAATATATATATATATATATAATATATATATAATATATATGTCATCTAAACTGAAGTGGGACGGGGAGGGTAATAAAAAAATGAGAGAGAGAAAGAGAGAGGGCGAGATAGGAGGGAGAGAGAGAGAGAGAGAGAGAGAAGAGAGAAGGAGAGAGAGAGAGGAGAGAGGATAGAGGAGAGGAGAGAGAGAGAGGAGAGAGAGAGAACTCCCTTTTTATCTTCTTCCTCTGTCTCTGTTGTCTGTCTTCTCTCTCTCACTCTTCTCTCTCTCTCCCTTTCTGCCTTTGCGTTTTTTTTCCACACCAGATTCATACATGTTTATATTTCTATGTTTATATCTAAGCGTGTACGTGTTCAGTTATTAGTGTTCGTCCTGTTATATCTAGATAGAGAGAGGGAAAGAGAAAGAGAAGAGATAGAGAAAGAGGGGAGGCACAGAGAGAGAGAGAGAGTGAGAGTGAGAGATGAGGAGGAGAGACGAGAGAAAGAGAGCCAAATTTGCAAAACGTTTGCTTCCCCAATAAGACCAACAGAGAATAGGGGAGGGACAGACAGACAGATAGACACACATACACACACGCACACACACACACCACACATGAGAGAGAGAGAGAGAGAGAGAGAGAGAGAGAGAGAGAGAGAGAGAGAGAGAGAGAGATATACCATCCATCTTCAATTTGCCAAAACGTTTGCTTCCCCAATAAGACCAGCAAATCGACCTACAGAAACATCACCACTTCATGACCTCTGCTAATTGGCTGTTAGCAATGACCACACACTAATTGGTCATTTACTGCAGCCTAGACAAACAACCCGAGGCCAAGCGCTGCCCTGTCTCTGCATTTCCACTTGATTAAGGGAAAGCAGTCCAGTGAATGGTTAGGCAGGGGTCGGTAGTGGTCGTTTTGATACCAAATCCTAGCATGGAGACATAACATCGTTGTACGAGTGGTCGAGCGGCCGTCCTGCATTCACGTGCATTGGCGGCGAGGGATCGAATCCCGATCGGAGAGGTTATAATGTTCATGATAAAAATGCGGTATTGCATTATTCCATCTTTCATGCAGTTATTTCCTAATCCTTCTCCGCTGTTTTTGAGTCCTTGTTTTCCTACTCCGAGTCCGTATGGGGAGGACTCCAACCACAATAGTTTTACCATTTGTATAGCAATGTCTGTTTAACTTCCCTTTTCCACTCCTTTATAAATATACGTTGCTGTTCCGAGAAATGTCTGTGTGCTCTGCGGATGGTTGTGGTCTGGAGCAAAAACTGTAATAGTCACATGATATCAGTCGTGTAGCTGTCAAATATTGGGTAATAGGGAATTGAAATCCTCGCTTTCAGGGGATTTTTTAATGTTTGCAGTACTGTATACTTACGTATTCACACACACACACACACACACACACACACACACACACACACACACACACACAAACACACACACATACACACACACACACACACACAACACACACAAACAAACACACATACACAACACATCACACACACACACACACACACACACACACACACAACATACACAACACACCACATAAACATCACACACACACACACACAGCACGGGCATTAGATGTTTTAAGGATGTCTGTTCTGTCTATCTCTCTCCATATCGAGAAAACAGTTACTTAGATTATTATATAGAAATATAGAAAATGGAAGCCTAAAAGATGAATAGGGATAACTATGTTGAGATGGATAGATACTGGTATTATGATACTGAAGTATTGAACATGTTTGAGTAGCTTCATGTGATTTTCAAATATTGAACTGAACCTACTTATTTCCAAAAGGTTAAAGACAAAGAGAGAGAGTGGGAGAGGGAGAGGAGAGAGAGAGGAGAGAGAGAGGAGAGAGAGGAGAGAGAGGAGAGGAGAGAGAGAGAGAGAGAGAGAGAGAGAGAGAGAGAGAGAGAGAGAGATGTCTGAGGGACAAGGGTTACCTACCCACGTCCCAGCGCTAGGGACTCCCGACCCACTCTTGACAGCTACAGCACATTCGACCTCGGGCACGGGCTGACCTGGACGGCTCTCTCTGTAGGTCTCTCCCCCTCGGCGCGCCTCTTGGGCTCCCTTTGCCCACAGCTGCACCGCACGAGACATAGCACACTACCTACGACCTCAAAAATAAAAGAAAACCAGAACTGTGTCTCCATACACCACCAAGTCAAGGGAAGACAAAACCCTGACAGAGAGACGCACACACATGCATAGATGTACAGTAAGAGAGAGAAAGAGGAGGGGAAAAAAGAAAAGAGATAGAAAGAAAATAAAGAGAAGAGGTTTGTAAAGTCTATACGAGGCTAACATCTAATGGATAGATAAACAAATAAATGCATATCTATCAGATAGAAGGAAATGAATTTACTTGTGTGTGTATATGAATATTAATTGGGCAGACCTCGCACAATTTTAACAAACCAGTCACTAGAGGGAAAAAAAGGAACTATAAACACAAATTCTTGGAATGTGTGGCCTCGCTTTTCAACATGTGAAAGAAAAATACTGTTAAAAATGAAAAAAAAAAAAAAACTAAGCCTTTCTAGACGGATTGGCCGTTTGTCTTTTGGTCTTAAAATAACTTAAAATGTCCTTTATCGTCTTAGAACAGCGCAGAGGCCATGCAGAAAGAGAGAACTTGCCATGAACAAAATCAAATTTGAGTAGAGATTACTGAAGCTTTTGTTGTGACGTCATAATGGTAACTGAATTCAACGGATGATTATGATTGAATTCAATGGATGCCGATAAAGACTTAAAGAAAGAGTCATGACAGTTGATATTAAGGAATCGAAGAAGCATAGTAACCGAGCGATGCGCCGTGTGTGTGTGTGTGTGTGTGTGTGTGAGAGAGAGGAGTGTGTGTGTATGTATGTGTGTGTGTGTGTGTGTGTGTGTGTGTGTGTGTGTGTGAGAGAGAGAGAGAGAGAGAGAGTGTGTGTGTGTGTGTGTGTGTACAATGTGTATATATATATATATATATATATATATATATATATATATATATATATATATATATATATATATATATATGTATGCATAGAAAGGAAAAATAAAGGAATTGCTTCCCGTCTCTCTCGCGAGGCAGTTGACTTTAACAAGGAAAAGTGAAAGCGAGATTTTACCTTTGAGTTTCAGAAACACGCTTTGCGATGGCTTTGCTGAAGGGAAGGAAAGGCAGCCGAGGAGCGAAGAAAAATGGAAAAGGCAGAAAAATAAAAACGAAAAACATGTACATGATATAAATAGATTGAGAAATAAAAGGAGGTAAGAGAGAGTAGGGGAGGAGAGAAAGAGAGAGAGAGAGAGAGAGAGAGAGAGAGGGAGGAGAAGGAGGAAGGAAAAGAAAGAGAGAGAAGAAAAGAAGAGGGGGAGAGAGAAAAAAGAAAAATATATGGGAAGAGAGGGAGAGCAAGAGAGAGAAATAGGGGAAGAGGGAAGAAAGAGACAGAGAAATAGGGGAAGAGAGAGAGAGATACAATAATGTTCAATTTCCAGTTTTCTTTTTGTTTAACGTTTTCTGTGGCATAATTGAGTGTTGAAATGTAAGAGGCGG